GGTACCCTGCTGAAAACCCTCCAATAGTTTCCCACTGCATTTGGAAGTGATCATAACCAGAGCCTACAAGGCCTCCCGTGATCTTTCTCATGACAACTTTTCCATCCTCATCTCATACCACGCCCCACCCATGCCCACCGCGATCCAGCCACACTGGCTACTTTCTGCTTTTCAGCAAGCTAGGCTCATTCCTGCCTCAGGGGCTGGCCACTTGCTTCTCCCTCTGCCTGGAATGTTCTTCCTTCGCTGCTCCTTTCAAACCTTGAGACTCTCAGCTTGAAATTCACCTCCTCAGAGTTTTAGTTCCCACCAGTTCTTACTAGCTGGGATTTGACAAGATATGAGGGAACTACATAAAAACAATTCTTTGCAGGCATTAAATGGCAGCCAATGCAGGGCTACAATCCATGAGAAAAAGAATGCACAACAAGGTGAGCTCTACATTGTCCCTGGAACATTTTCCAAACCATGGTTCAGGGAAATAGATCCCACGCTGAACATGGTGGTCCTGCTAAGTGGAATCAGAGACTGGGGTTCGGGGATGCTATGACAGCTGCGGTTTGTGGGACAAAGCAACAGAGAGAGGTGAGCCGCAGAGAAGAAATCCAGACACTGTGCTAGAAATACCCTTGGGTCCTTGGCTGAATCATACGTGGTGCAACATAGTGTAAGACTCTGAGGCCTAGCAGAGAACAGCAGCTGGGAGATCAATTGCTAAAGAGATTTTGGAGGTCACACACTGCTACAAAGATAACAAAGTTCTGGCGTAGCCAAAGTGGAGAGTCTTTGGTGAATGCTCTGGGAACTCAGTTGATACCACTGAAAGGCCATGCCCAAGAAGCAAGGACCACCCTTGAGGAGTAAAATCAAGCCCTGGTACTGAGGGGAAAACTGAAATAGACCTGCACAGGAATAATGGTCTGCTGATCATTCAGCTACCTACCAGAACAAAACTTACTCAACATGCTTTAGAGGAAGCTAATAAGCAGGAATCTCTACACGCTCCACATAATGTCCAACATTTAAAAAAAAATTACTAGTCACATGAAGAAGCAGAAAAGTGGGCCTTAACCAAAAAATAAAATAGCCAATAGAAACAGACTCAGAGATAATCTAGACATGGGGGTTAGCAGACAAGACCTTCAAAATAACTATGATTATATTTTTTAACAACATAGGAAAAGACAGACAAAAATGAATGAAAATGTGGAGTATTTCAACAGAGAATCAGAATCTCTTTAAAAAAGGATAAAATGGATATGCTACTGCAAAATACAGTAAATGAAATTAAGAACTAATGGATGGGTTTATTAGAAGACAGGACACAGCAGAACTGAACAGCAGAACTTTTAGTGAACTAAAAGACAGGTCAATAGAAAATTCAAACTGATACACAAAGAGAAAAAAATAGAACAGTTCCAAACGATGTGGGATAAAGTGAAAAAACATTCTAGGTTTTTAGGAGAGGAGAGAAAAATAGAAAAGAACAAAATACTTGAAGAACTAATGGCCAAGAATTTTCCAAATCTGATTAAAGATATGATTCCACAGTTTCAAGAGGCTCAGAAAAACCAAGCAGGATAAACATAAATAACACTTCATGTAAGCACATCATAGTCTAACTGCCAAAACCCAAAGATGAAAAGCAAATCTTTAAAATAGTCTGAGGTAAAATGACACATTTCTTTCAGGGGAAAAAAAGACAAATTATTCCATTTCCGAACAGAAACTGTGGGAGCCAGAAGGCAATGAAATGAGATCTTTAAAGTGTCAAAAGAGGGAAACATATCTTCCTATCTAAAATTCTGAATCCAGAGTGAAAAAAAATCTTTTAAAAGTGGAGTTGAAAAATTGTTTTCATAAAAAGAAATTTGAGGGGATTCATCACCAGCGAAAAATAACAAAGTTCTTCAGGTGGACGTAAAACAGATCCACACAAGTAGAAGACAGAATGAACAGCACAAGAATGTAGAAAGATATGAATAAACATAAAAGATTATTGAGTGTTTAAAACAACAGTAATAGCACTTTGTAAGGTATATATACGCAGAAGTAACATAGTTGACAAAAATAAACAATGAAAAGGATGAAAAGGAATAAATGGAGTAAACTATCAAAAGATTTCTGAATTATGTGAGACACGGTAAAAGTACTAATTTAAAGTAAATTTTAATAATTAATACCTACAATTTGAAATTTCTAGGGTAACCACTAAAAGAATGACACTAAAATATGTATCAAAATAAGCTAATAGAGAAGAAAATGGAGTAATAGAAAATAGTTTACTAATACCAAAAACAAAGGCAGAAAGAAGAAATAAAAGAAAAGAGAACAGAACAGACAAATAGAAGAAACAGCAAGAAGGTACACATACAGCCAATTACACAATTATGTATGTGAAATGTAAATGGACCAAACACTCCAACTAAAAAGCGAGGATGTCAAACTGAACTAAGTTTAGAAAAAAAACAAAAACAGCCATATGTTGTTTCTAAGAAACATACTTTAAAGATTCTGATAGCTTGAAAGCAAAAAGATGGATGGTGTAAAAAAGTTATATACCATGAAAATACTAATGAAAAGAAACTGATGTGGTACTTTAATATCAGACAAAGTCAACCTTAGGGAAAG